GCTTTATAGAAACAAAATATTTGTAATAATGAAATTAAACCAATAAAGGTATGCAAATGTGTACACTGAAAATTTCGTATTCTACTATGTAAAAATTCATAAGAAAATGAAGTGTTTCAAAACTGCAGGTATAGTCTTTCGCATATGAACAGTCTTTAATATTTACAAGACAACATGTTTTAACAGTCCATGATTTAACCATCACAAGACACAATTTTTTTCTTTTTTAACTTTAACTCATCTTTATACATATTTACAAATCACATCTGGCTCCAGGCCAACTAGAAATAAGTAACACATCTGAACAATGTAGCACTCTCTTCAAGTAGAAAACTAAAGAGGGAAAAATAGAATGGCTTCATAATAGTCAAGCTTAGCATTTGACAATTTATAGGAAAGCAATAAAAAATGTACTTTTAGTTTTAATCAGTGATAGAGAACATTTTAAGAAAAGTACTAGTGGGTGTTCCATCTAAAATAAAAAAGAAAAAATATAAAGATGTTTTGAAAACCAGTACAAGTGCAAAGTGTTAACTGCGCTACTCTAAATCACTGCAAAATGTTTTCGGACTCAGCTGTGTAACTTTTTACACGAGAGAAATGGAATGGTGGAAACCTTCCACTAATTAAGTCAAAATTTGTGGAACTTTCTGTTGACCCACGGTGAGTAATGACTGAGTAGCATTGCCAATGTAGTTGAACATGACGGTGGGAACGATGTGAGCCAATTTGGAGTTCCTAGAAAGATAATGAGTGTAGTCATTTTCCATCATTTTTCTCATTGACTAGTTTTATCTAAATCAGCCACATACCAGATGAAAAGTTTGCTCGCTTGGTTCTGTCCATAGAGCATTATCTCTCCGCTTCTGATTGCGAATTTTGTTATTAGTGCTGGAACCTTTTTCTGGATCCCTTTTTAACACAATTGTCACATGATCATCATGTAATCTGTAATGCCCCCGTAAAACTGTAGAATTTCGTGGATTCCGGTGCTTCAATTCTTTGAGACTCACTGGGGGATCTTCAGGTGTTGTCAACATCAACACTAAGCCATCTGGAAAAAATCTGAAGAAAAGCAAGTATAAGAGATGTCAACTGTTTGAAAATACTGCATTAGGCCTTTTATATTATGAGATGGAAGAACGTACCTAAGGTATCGGAAATATTCTACAATATGCCATGGTCGATAGAATTGGTCCTGGAAGCTATTTTCACCATGGCGAATATAAGTTGTCTTGCTGATGTAACACCCATGAAAATAAATGTGTGGCCTTTCAATGAACATTTGACGCCATGACTCAAAATTACTCAGACCACCGCAATTCACACCCCAAACTCTGTGTTTCATAGACATAAGTTCGTGTCAGTAAAGTTACATAATAAAGAGGAACTAAATAGAAAAAGAAAAAAAATGATGAGGACAAATACCAGAGTTGGCATAGAGTATTAAATTAAATCTAAATTGAGTCAAATTCGTTCAAAAAATAATGCACTTCACGTCACACCACATCGCCATGTGCGTCAGCCGAAGCCCGACCTAGCTCACGCTCAGGAAGCCGTCGACTGCGAATTTTGTAGAAGTGTCTTGTAGTCGGTAGGTGTCCCCAGCTGTATTACATTCTGCCCCTTTTCGCCCAATTTAGCACCATTTAATTCTCTATGCCAACCCTGACAAATACCTGACACAAACAAGTCGCCAAATCTCTGGGTCTCGAGCTGCAAGGTAAAATCCTCTGCAGACAGCAGAACAGGAGAGATCTAAAAGGCGTACATCTAATTCTGATGAAACAACCCACTTAAAGATGTATAGTAAAATTTCCATTGGCAAGGAAGAAATGTGAGTACCCTGCAATTAAAGGAAGATTAGAAAATAAAAAAAAAATACAGCTCTGCAGAAATTAAGACCTTAAACAAATAAATAATTGAACTAACACTTTGAAGTGATTCAGGGTGACACACAGCCTGATCCCTCAAGAGAATGCGTTGAAAACGCACAAGTAAGTCATCATCTTCTTCAGCCTCATCTACTGTCTCACTTTCAGCTGAAGTATCATCCAATGTAAGTGACTCTAAATGAACTAAAATATCAAAGGAAAAAAAAATGAGTAAGTGGCTTTTCTTGCTAGACACAAGTAGAGCAGAGTTATTTAAAGGAGTAAATTGTGATACCTTCCACTGGAGTTGTCTTGGACTTGGTTGCTTCATACAATCGAGTTTCAATATCAGGTACAAGTTGCACAGCCCGACGATAGAACTTGACTGCTTCATACAATTTACCGTCCTGCTCATGTTGAATTCCTTTTAAAAAAAGAGCTCTAGCCTGAAAAAAATAATATTTCCCTTTATACGTTATGAATTTGTTTTGTATTGTGTTAAATTTGCATTTTTTATAAATCTTGTTTGGAATTCACCTGATCCTCAGTGGTTTCAGGAACTGTCTCTGAAGGAGCACTGGACTCTCTCTGTGTCAGGGATTGTTGGGGCTGGTGTTCAGGAGAGCTTTTAAGTTCTCTTTTCCATTGTGCTCGGAACGTTGATAGTTCATCAACAGCTTTAACATGCTGAAAGATAGTGAATGATCTACTGTAAATCTTGATTGAGTTATAAAGTATGATGCAATACAATGCATAATCAAATCACACACTTGGATAGCAGAGGGATCGTCCTGTTCGTCTGTATTAGAATCTTCAGCATTAATGTCTCGCCATGGTCTATTGCTGGCACTCTCAGAAAATCTTGAACTGCCTGGTTTTCCAGGCGGAAACTGCAAATAAAATTCGGACTTGACACGTAGTAAAGAGATGATTGGGGAAGAATGCGGGGAAAATAGAAATTACTTTGGGAAATGAGAGAAACTCTTAGGACATTTAAGAGGACATATGTTATGTACAATGTGTTGTGTTTACAGGTGCCTTAACCTCTTACTTTGCGAAATGATTTCTTTTGAAATAAAGTGCAGCATGTAAGATATATTTCTCTCCACGGAAAGGCGGTATATATAATTTTTTAAAGTGACGTATTTCATGTCATGACATAGGGGCATAGTGGACTGGAATTTGAAAGGAAAGCGACATCAGCAGAAGCAAAGGACCTGTGGCGGCCAAGGTGCAGAAGGTATTGCGCCGCGATTATTTGGAAATGGTTCGTATGAAATTAGACGAGGAAAGTAATACTTGCCATCCTGTTAGGTTAACTTAGGAAGACAACTTTGACAAATCACGCCAAGAATAACATGAAACAGGGACTACTCCACATTCAACAATCTCCTGAGCAGACATTTTTGTCTTGTCTTGGCCCTGGCCTGGCCTTTTAGTTTTAATTTGTGGTTGTCATCATTATTTGCAGTACAAATGAGTAACGAGGTCGTGCTGAGTGAAATGTCTTTCGCGTGTCGCGTGTAAACGTATATTGCATTTTGATTTAAGAGCTCAGCTATGTAATGCTCCTAAATTTTGAAAATTTTCGCATTAGCTGACATTTTACTATGAGATTTTTAACTTTGTTTAACATGACGATGTTGCTAGACCTGGATATCGGAGTAGCCTATTGACAGTCGACTGCTGACAAAAAGGGGTGTGGGGGTTAAAGCAAATTTGTAAACAAAAAAATCAATTGAATCTATTTGACATCTTATTTACATTTGTCGTGCATTCATTGCTGTGGTTTCGGTGGTAGGGCTTCTACGTTAGTTTCCTACAGATATTTCCCCTACTTTCTCTCAAATCAGTCGTGAACTGAGACTGAGAGCAGGCTACAATGGCTACATTTGAAGACAAGATTTTGGGTGAGAAACTTCATTGTTATTGCAGCAGCAGTGAAGATGAAAATGACAAAGCAGAGTCTGGTGATGAAGAATCAAATACCGGAGCATCTGGAAAACAGTCCCCTCCATCTTTACCACAACCTGAAGCTTGGTCTGGGTCCTCAACTAATACCGGCCCAAAGGGTGTCATCAAAGATTGGCAGCGATTCAAGCAGTTGGAAACAGAAAAGCGTGCTGAACAGGAAAGGGAAAAACTAGAGCTCTTGAAGAAATTGTCCTTGACTTGCCAGACTGCCCTTGATGAAGAAAAGGAGAAAGCTAAAGCTGAACAACTGGATCCTGATTTGAAGGAACTTCTTGAAGACAGCTTCCTACTTCAGTATCAAGAAAAAAGGATGAAAGAAATGCTTGATCAATATAGTATGCTTCCGTCTTTTGGCAAGCTTATTACATTGAAAGACAGTGGAGAGTTTTTGGATGCTATTGACAACGAAAACAAGGCAGTGTCTGTCATTATTCACATTTATGAGAACAATATAGCAGGTTGTGAGGCAATGAATGGCTGCCTAACATGTCTCAGCGAAGAGTTCCCAAAAGTCAAATTTTGCAAAATTTTCAGTTCAGTGGCTGGCATGAGCCAACGTTTCAAGGCTGGTGGTGTTCCAGCCCTGTTGGTGTACAAGGGTGGACAGTTAATTGGGAACTTTGTTAGAGTGACAGATGATCTTGGTACTGATTTTTTTGCTGAGGAAGTTGAAGCATTTCTGACTGAACATGGTGTGCTTCCTGACAAATCATGCGTGCCAAAAATAATTCAGCAATCTTCACAGAAAGATAATGATGACGATGATGATTAATGCAACAATATCATATTGAAACACTGATGTCTGTAGACTGATTGTATTGCACTTTATCCTTCTTTCATCCCTCATGTTTTCCAAACAACATTTAAATTTTACTCAGAACCTGTTTTATATTTGCTTTGGAATTGATTTTAGTTGTTGGGAAAGAACAAGTATTACTTAATGGTAGTGTGTGGATTTAATTCTATATTTATTATGCTTCATTGCCAACTTTTGTATACTCATAAATAGTTGTATAGAATTTGCACTTAGTACTATGATCACAATTCTAACATTCAAGACCTGTAGACGTTTGTGCTTATACTGTGCTTTTCTTAATGGAAGTATCTGGGACACAAAATGTATGTCAGTTTGGGTATTTTCTGGGACCAATTCCTGTGTATGAAACCAAATTCTTTAATTAGGCTCTACTTAAGGTATTTAGTTAGTGTAAAACCTAAGTTATTAAAAGGAATACTTCAATATTTTAACTGGTCAAAAGATCCAATTTGTTTGTTAAAAAATCTTTTATTTAAATATGTGATGAAAGGATAAATTTTTTATCACTGCCGTAAGCATAATACAATCTCTTTAGTACTGTAATATGTGATTACCTGTATGTGGACTATTACTTACTCTTGTGCCATCTTTTGTACAAATTTTCTAAAATTTATAGGCAAATGCCACTAGCTTACTCTTTGATACTGGAGTAGTTAAAGTAGCTCATTGAGGAACAATTATTTTGTAGTTTTTATTTGTGAATTTCTTTTACAGTTTTAATCAACGGTAAATAAGGGACTGTCTTAAAAGAGGACCATTGGTTCTTACACCTTGTATTTCCTGTTAGTTTCACTCATAGCAAGTGTCTTGTCAATTTCTACATTTGTAAACATTCTGATGTTTTAATACAAGTACTCTTCACCTGAACCTGGATCTTTTATTGATCTCGTTCCCCAGTCAGCCATGCCCTTGGGTTCTCAATAGTTATGGCGTCAACTTCTTCTGAGGTGAAACCCCTCAAAATCATTTTTGGTACCACATTAGCCAACAAATGAGCATAGCCGTGACCTCCATACTTTACCTTCATAGGACAAAAGAACACATGTTAATCTTATAAACATTCATAATAGATACTAATGAGCTGCAAGAGACAACTTACAAGACGATGTCTGGTATGGATGTCATGGGATGCAAGGAGTTGCTGAAGTTTTCCTTCATCCTTCAACCAAGAAAATATCTTCACTCTCTCTGCATCGGACGGCATATCACAGTCAGGGTTTAACTGATACCAAGAACATTCTGTGCCGAATAAATCCAGTTGGCAGAAAGAACCCAGCTCGGAAAAGTTCAGAAATTGTTGTTTTTCATTTAGAGTTCCTGCAATTACAATTTTTAAATACATCTCAGTATTCTCTAGAAAATATACTTTTATGTACCATATTCATACGTCATACTTACTGTCTAAGTGAGACATTATTGCTCTTTTAGCCTTTCCACCTGCTTCAAGGTACAATCTCATAATTTCAAAAGGAGCTTCAGGACTTCGACCTGGATGAAATGTTACTGGACATCTAAGATAGTTTTGTGCTTGAGCTGTAGCTCTGATGGCCCTTTTTTCAAAATCTAGTTTACAGTAAGATTCATTTTATTCATAACTTTCAGAAAAACATAACAGACTGGTTACAATCATTTAAAGGAATGTTACCTGTTATTGGCCAATCACTTGCTACTTCACCTATAACACCACATTTCACAGAAGGGTAGTCAGCACTACCCTGCGTCATTTCAGTCACCATTGAATTAAACATATCCTCTTCTGATAGGTTGCGAACACTTCCAGGTTGAGTGCTCTCCAGATAGTATCCTGAATTAATTTGAGTTCTATCATTTTTGTCATCAGTTTTCTAATGCAAGAGTTACATTAAACTCACCACAGCCAGCAATAATATTTACTCCAGTATTTTTACTGATCGTTTCCATTAACTTGATTTGCCGCTTCAATCCATGAGTAGTGTTTTCAACAATAGTCCCTCCACCAGCCATTTTAAAGAGGCTTACATCATAAGCCACTGCAGCATCAACTTCAGTTCCATAGAATGCAATGTTTTCATGACTGGCATAGCTATTTAAAAAAAACACTCAAAGATAATCAATAAGGAATTCACTCATATAAATTTTGTTCTATGAATATAAAACTAAAACTTACGGGTATTGCTTAATCAAACCTATATTGTCTAAGCTTAAGGTTCTCTCAATTTCTGACTTAAATATAGAAGGTGGAGATTTATAAAAGTTTTCATAGTTCACAGAAAGATGCTCATGGGTCAATGTCCTGCCCAGCTTATCCGCTGCCACAGGGCCCAAGACTGAGGTTTGCATAAAAAGAGAAAATGCTGGTTAAGATTTCCTGAAAAATAATCAAACATTTTTCTTTTATTTAAATGCACTAATCAATATACCAGTTTGGACGGTTGGAGACATGCTTCAATCTTCGCTGCCGTCGGATCACTAAAGTGAAGGAAGCTTGGCTTTGATATAAAAAGTAGGTGTAATGCTCCTTATCTCGTGCCTCGCGCCGCTCGGGACACCTGTTGTCTGTCTCGTCGTGTCAAACGCGAACGCGAAGGCGAACGCGAACGAGTGTCGGATGTGGGACGTGTCGTACACATTTGGAATTCGGACTAGGGCTTTCTTTTTCAAACGATATCTGATTGAGATATTTGCCATGTCTCAGCCCAAAGCGCTAGTGTCGCTCCGGTGTCGCTGCTGAGCTACTGTTGTGGCGCGCGACTCGAAACTGACAGTGAGAGTGGTGAAAGATGCGAGGGGTTGCTTACAAGTGAGGTTCTTTTTTGTGTAATGCGCAGTGCTTCCTAATCCTACCTTCGGCCTCCCTTCGCTTCCCACTGTATTGCGCTCGATTTCTGCTTGATTCTTGATTCAACAACGACGTACCCGTAACGAGTCCGGGTAGGGAAGGACAAGAAGGTGTTACCACCCGCACATCGAGGGTTGCGATGCCGCGATGATTTTGGGGTTTTGGTGTTTCCCCGGCGGTCCGCACCCCTGAACTGTGGTCGGTGCCGGTTCCCTGGGTGCTTCTCATGAGAAGTGATCCGCATTACCAGGGACCCTTGAAAAGTTTTGCACATTCAGTGCGGTGCGGTGTTGCGTGGCTACACTGCCCCCCCCCACCCCC